CACCGGAAGAAGTGGTGACGGGCCGGAAAATTAGAAGTGGGCTTCCTCTGCTATGCCGTGGAAAGGCGACCTTTGACGATAACCTGCTTATATTCTGACGAAGATACGAGAAGACACCATTATTAAACCAGGAGACAAGGTTGTTGTAGAGCGCCAGTCTCGAGCAAAAGGAGAATCACGGTTTGATCCCCGCAAGTATACGGTTACAGAAGAACGTAACGGAACGCTTATTTTGACCGATGAAAACGGTCAGTCCTTAAAAAGTTGGAGGGTGGTGTACAAGACACAACCGCATTGTTGACGTAGGACTACGAAATTTTTGTTCGATATTCTAGTTTGTTGTTTCGGATATTATTTTGGAATTATTCATTTTGTTAAGCTTCTGCATTCATGTTCCATCTGATGTCACTGCTGTTGTTTGCGGTGACATCTATCGGAAACTACACACAATCTGTTTTCCTATAATTGTTCACAGAGGACACTGCAGTGCAAAACATGTCTGGTATCTATGCATTTAGATTATTATTCGAAGTCCCTCTTTTTTACACATTCTGCACACAAAATAGCTCAGCCCTCACATAATTTCCCGCCGATTTTTATGTATGGTAAAGTATCTTTTGCGCAGAATATGTAAAATAGGATGGACTTCAAATGTTAAAGCACAGACAAAGTTAAAGCAAATGCATATATAGAAAGGGTGTGAAAGGGAAATCACAAATCGAGTGTCAACAAAATACATGGCATGTTGAGAGATTGAGGTCGTGAGAGCAAATTTTCTCTCTCAAATTTTAATTTTTTGGCTCTCTGGGAGCTGGTAGTAAATCAGGTAAAACTGTATGGGGAAAAATCATTTTTATTTAATTGTAACTTGTTTAACAATAAATTTCGGGGAAAAAACTAAACTACAAAGTTCCTGATCAATTTCTTTAGGTTGTCGTTCACTTTTTTTGACCTGAATATGCACCGAAAGCGAATTATTCCCACTTCTCTCAATTTATATATGGGGATTCTCTGTGGAAAATGGTCAAACAAAATGATTAATTAAGTGAATTTCATAACTCAACTCTTTTGTAGAAAGTCCTGAACTGTGATGGTTTCTTTATGGCAAGCTTTGCTATAATCACTGGACCTCGTGTTTATTCGCGTTTATACATATCACTTGCGCAGGAAATCAGTTTGGCACGGCATTTCTGACCAGCATACCTTCCAGTAGCATGAAACAGGTCAAAATTTGCCCTAATCTGCCAATAAATTTGTTTGTTTAGCATTTGCTTATAGCAAAATACTGAACTTTTCGGGAACATTCACGCCAAAGAACTCACCAACACACTTTTTGTTACATGCCTCATGCATGTAACAAATTAAATTTTGATTGTCTTTCTTTTTGAACACGCCGGTAAAGTACACAGACTCCTCCCATCATGAGTAGTTTGCTATCAAGTAGCGACACTGGCTCCTCTCCATTTGTACTCTCTGTACTTTAAGTCTATACTCTCTGTTCTCTGTATTATTTCTAGATAGAGCTGGAATTAGGGCGTAACAGCTTTTGTAAACAATGACAATAATTTCTACTAAATCAAGGCTTGCCCACGCAAATCAACATTACCATCGGGTAGAGGAAGACTTCCCCTACCCGATGGTTGTATTGGATTGCGGAGGCGTGTCTTGAATTCCTAGAAATCTTCGAGAGAAGTCATTGTTTACAAAAGCTGTTACGCCCTAATTCCAGCTCTCACTAGATTTAACGGTTCGGACGATTTCGAAGATGTCGCGTAGCAGGGGAATGCATACGATGAGGGTTTCTCAGTTTATGAAAGTGGAACGGAATAAATTTAACCCACCGATAAGACTACAAATAGAACATAATTTATTTCCCTAACAAATTATTTGATTTTTGTATCATTTTGATGTATTTAGTGACAAATTGAATGGGTGAATCATGGGCTACTCTATATAAATTCTATTCTAACTCTTTTCTGAAATGAACTTGGTGGCCCTGAAAAGGTCCGTTTTGTTACGTTGGTGATAAGTTTTAACCTCCGAAACCGTACAGAGTGCGTCCCTGTCAGACCGTAGATCAGACCGGAAATATGCTTGACACCACCACAGGCTGAAAGCCTCCTAAATAAAGCTAAATTAATTAATTAATTGACACCACCACGTCGAGCCAGACGACGGATGACAGGCTTGGTAATACCCTGGATGTTATCACGTTTAAAGCAGAAGAACTGAAGGACAGTGTATTGGTCCCTCCCCTCCCCCCCCCGCTCATAAAGGTTTCAAGTATCGGGAAAACCTTCTTAAGACGGCCTGCCGATAAAAGTTTTGAGAAGCTACCGACAATGAAAAAAAAAAATCTGGCCACCCTGGTTCCCGTTGGTGCTGTCGCGGCATCGACGTGTGATGGCAGCACAGACGAAAAGTGATGATAATCGGTGACAGTTACTCCGAATTACCCTGTACATTGCTTACTTATTTAGATGTATGACCAAATGCTTAACATGCTTACTTATGCCCCGCCTACCCCTTTACCTTAACAATCAGGCTAAGGCCTTGTTGTCTTCTGCTGTCCGAAGAAGTCGTCTCCACTCTACTTGATCCATGGCCACACTTCGCCAGCCTCGTAGTCTGCGAGGGCTCCGCAGGTCGCCTTCTACTTGGTCGATCCACCTTGCCCGTAGTAGACGCGTGCAACTTCTTGAGCCTGTTGGGTCGCTTTTGAGAACCATTTTCACTAGGTCGTCGTGCGGCATTCTTACGACGTGCCCAGCCTACCGTAGTCACCCAATTTTTGCAATGTGGACGATGGATGTTTATCCCAGCAGCTGGTGCAATTCGTGGTTCATTCACCTCCTCCACGTTCCGTCATCCATCTGCACTCCACCTTAGATGGTACGCAACACCTTCCGTTCGAAAACACCAAGTCCACGAGCATACTACAGGTCTCGTGGCCGTAGAGGACCACCGGTCTAATCAGCGTCCCACCTACCCCTACACAAAATGAAATGAGTGACATTCGATTTTTACAATGGATGGGTACTATTTGAATTCATTTCCCGAGCCTAAAAAGTTTTCAAACGGTTCAATAGCTTCTATCGTGTATCTAGGGAGAATCGGGCAAAATTTACACTTTAGGTCTGCTCACAGTATGAAATGGGTCAATCCCCTGATATTTTTAAAATGTACCTACATATAGGTGCTATTTATGTTCATCTGCTGGGCGCCTAATCGGCTTTTCTACTGTTTTATTAGAAATTATCATGTATTTTGGGGAGAATTGGGCAAAATGGACCACTTCCTGAGATCTACACAAGATAGGATCAGCAATATTATTTTTTGACGTAGGACTACGTCTTTGATATCTATATGGGGGTACACTTTGTGAAATCCGAAAATGGAACATGTAACAAATTGAGAAAGATTTTGAACGTTGATAACTCAGCTGCCCCTGGTCCAATTTCAATAATTTTATCACCAATCGATCAGAAATATGGCTACGCACCGAATGTTGATTTTCAACAAGAAACTATTGAAAAACTGGTAAATGTCCTGCATTGTCCAAAAGCGTCGAATTAACTAACAAATCCACCAATGCATACATGCATATGCTGCTTCCCCAGCACAGTCGTCAGAGAGTAGTAAGTAGACGAAACAAATCGAAGTGGCATTCGCCTCCGATCCTCGGGCGCGTGCGAATAGGGAGGGTGGAATTGCGTAATATTTTACACACTCATCGCCATACTCAGAACCACACGCTCCCAACGACCACACCACTGTGTGGTGGTGTTCGGTCGTCGAAATTAGTAGCAGCAGCAGCAGTGCTTTCGGCGTGTGGCGTTGAAAATTGTTCTCCAGTAACAACGAAAGGCTGCCTGCCAGCACCGAGCTGCACAGCCCACATAAGCAACCTTCAAAGGAGGAAGAAGCTACACCGCTATGCTATGGATCGGAATCAGTAGCTCTTCGTGAGTCGCTGCGGGTCGGTCATCTATGCCAAGCGTGTCACCCTCGCTCCAAATGACATACAGCTCGACAGCCTCATCCGTGTTGAACACCCAGCTCAGCATTACTCAACCATCACTACAAAACGGTCCTTTTCAGGACCACCATAAATTTGTTAAGAGTATTATTTGGACATTTGTCAAGGTCATCAGTTCCCGCAAGCAGCTAGCTATCAAGGCTCAACCTGGTCTCTATAGAAGGTGTGGAATTGTATGTCCAAATGTATTGGTGAGATTAATCATCGTCTGACCATTTTCCAGAACACGCTGGTAGGAAGTGTTAAAAATCCATATATAATTTGAGAGAAGTGGGAATAATTCGCTTTGGGCGTATATTCAGTCCCCAGAAAGCCAATAAAATCAAATTTGAGAGAAAATTAGCTCTCACGAGTTCAATCTCCCCAAGTCCCTCCTTTTTTACATATTCTTCATAAACGATACTTTCGCCTCATTCATATAATTCGGAAGGAAATCCTGTGAAGGGTGAATTGAATACACTTTAATACCAAAATGCACAAAAGTCGGGTAGATGAATCGAAAATATTCAAGTTGACAGTCCCTTGGATTCTCTTCATCAACTTTCTTTTTGCAATAAATACTACAAATTTGATACGCTTACAAATAAAAAACGGAAAGAGTTAAGATAATTGATGATTGATCAGCTAAAAGAACTAAATGTTCACATTTGTTCCATCCACTAGCGGTCCTACGTCAAGCATCCGTTCATGCCCCTAGGCACAGACCCTTCTACTTTTTACTACTAGATAAGATTGAAATCCTGCGCCGCGAGTGAGGTGACTCTCCGTGCAAACCAAATGGAAAGTCACCTCACATGAGGTGACTATTGTCACTACACTAGTGACAGCAAGTCACCTCACCTTACTCGCGGCGCAGAACAGGGCTCTATGAGTGTTCAGGTCATTCGTGACTAGTCTTTTTTGAACAGCACTTCCGGAGGAAAAAAAGGCATTTCTCAATCAATCAGATGATTCACAGTGGTTTTATAACTCAACTTGTTCAATTTATTAGACACAATATGGATTTAAAATTTAGAGACCGATAAAATGTTTAGAACATTCGGCAGTTCTTTGACGTGTGTTTAATGTCTAGCACCATCTCCTAGATAGACCGATATTAACAATCAATTTGAACGAAATTCTCAATTTCAGTACGTATTAGCTTAAGGAAACTTGCTGTTCAATGCAGTTGAGTTTATTTTGAAGTTCCAATTTGAGTATGGAGTACGCATTTTTTCAATATTGGAAAAAAACAGTCCACAGTACAGAACAAAAATGTAGACATAAGATACTTGCTATTCTCTATTTGCAGCATTTTATTGTCTGCCATCACCATTTTCAATGAAGTAGTTACTATGATAGTAGGACAGTTAAAATTAAGAAATCAAATCGGATGATGTTGTAATGAATGATGTGTGTCTTACCTTTTTAAATTGATTTCCCTATAGATTCTATGCATACCTCCTAGCGCTATTGTATAATGCACGTAATTTACTATCTTCGTATAAAAAGCACTATTCAATTACCGGAATCAAGTGAAACACCAGGGCTTTAGTTCTTCTTGCGTTGAACTACCACCGGTCCGAGGTTATCGCCGCATTCCTTGTTATGAGCACCGTGCGATCCGTCGCAATATGGCCACTAAAAGGGATGACAAATTTAATTGCTAATGAGCTTGCTTCGTTTTGCATACACGATCTTACATTCTTGGACTTCCAGCAACGGCAGAAGGCAGCCTTCTCGGCGATGTCTTCGATGTCGACCATATCAACCACCTTAGGCTCGGACATGCGAACGGTACGGTTCACCTTGGTGCTTGGCTTTGGCCGAGCCTCCGGACAGAATGCTAGGTAGGACATGTAGACCAAACCTCCGACGGCGGCAGTAGGTGGGATCAGCGAAAGCCAATCAGTGACTGGAGAAATTGAAAATGGTAAGTAACGTTTCAGGAAATTTAACCCTCTCCTTCCCATGGTAGCACAGATGATCAAAAACTTTTCGGTCCGTCTCATGTTTGAAAAGCTACCATTAAATAGTCAGTACTTAGTTAAGCTTCTCCGTGTGTTCATTATTCTCGTAGATGTGTTCTTGAGAATGTAACTGAGCAACTATTGGAAAACAATTAAAATACTATTGTTTTAAAACAAAAACTTGTTTTAGAAAATTCGATAATTTTAGGCTCATCTTAAAAAAAAATATATTTGCATCTCCAAATAACGAAAAACCTTCTGGGAAGGAAAGGTTTAACTCCAACGACTTAAAATGTAGATATGTATATCGGTATACGGAAGGTAGCAAATGTACGGTTGCCTCGACTAAACAAATCTAGGTTCATTATCTCTCGGCTTAACCGTTTTCGATTGTGCAGCAGCCTTTACATATTTAATAGCTCCACTAGTACCACTGTACAACTAGCTTTCCAAGCGCATACTAATAAAGGTGACACCGAAAACAAATCTTACATAACGTCCAGACTAATCTGTTTCTATGTTTTCTTAAAACCGCACCACGAGACATGACTAATATAGAAAGTACCAATCATACATCATACGTTAGAATACCAATTTACCAAGAAGACTTCATATTTGACCAATCATTACATAGTAAATTCAATATCTTGTTTAATAACTCCTGCTCTTGTTTAGTGAACCGGTTCGCGAAAAATGAATTTCATTTACTCCGCCTATGGTTTCACGCTTCGGCTCCCATTTCTTTACCTTCAATCAACGTGTACTAAATGTGAAGGTCTTTACAGAGCCTCGAATAGAAAATGGAGTTTATAACTTACATCCCAGCCGGAACCATCCACCGATGCTGTCAGGAATCGGCAATCCAGCCAAATAGTTGGGCAGGGTGGTCTTGACCAGTCCGGATAGGAGTTGCATTTTCGCTGGATTTGAAACTCTAATATCTGGACGGATGAAGAAGAAAATAGCTGACTAATTATGATGGCGAAGGAAGGCAATAAAAAATCACCGCACCACTTTCTAAAACAGAGAGAAGGACTGAAGAACGGCTTCGGACCAGGTGCTCTGTTGTTTCACTACACAACGATTAGACACCGAATGATGGATCTGACATCAGAGAGGTTGTCTGCAACAAAAATCTTACGAGTTTTCGATCGAAGAGGGGGACAGTGGTTTGAGGTAATGAAGAATAAAAAGAGAATACAATGACAGTTCGATTGACAAAGATGCATCCGCCTTATCGTCCAAAATAAGCACTGAGAAAAATTCACACTCAAAAACATTACAATACTAAGATTGATTAAAAATCATTTTATGATTATGCAATCTTTATACTTTGATCGGATTAAAGTTTTCCTTAAAATTATACTAAGTCCGGTGGGGAAATCTAATGGTAAACAAATCGAAAGTCAAACCAAAAGCGATGGCCCTTGTGATCGTTCAACTTTCTTTTTTTTCGAAGGTACACAGAAAAAAAAGTTGTTGAATATTACATCCAAACTGCTGCAACCACAGCCCAGTGGCAGGCGCGTAGGCAACATGTTATACCGTGACAGCGGGCCCAAAACAGCAAAATAAACGATTTGAGCCCGGGACATGCTGTGTACTGTCAAACGCTGCTGTTGGTATAGGCCTTGTCACTGGCCTGTGCAACCAGGTCAATCCATCGGTTGTATTATATAACGTTGTACGATGTACATCGATTTTTCGAACAAATTTACATCCATCACGCAGAAAAATCTATCGTCAAAACAAAAATATTTTAGGTAAATATAAACGTAAACTCAGTTTGTTGTGGCCACAAAATTAAAAAAAAACCTTATTTTAAACGTAATTCATTTTTGTAGTCAATACAATCGACGTTTAAAATAAAAATAATGTTACGTTTATTTTAAAAATATTCAAGCTTAAAATAAACGTGAAAATTTTTGTGAACAAAAATAAATTTATTCATTTTAAAAATGATTTTCGTTTTTAAACAAAAAAACATAACTTTTAAACTATTTTAGTATTTGAAAGCGAGGGACAGAAAAATAAAATGGATAGCATATAAATAAAAGGTCTGCAGACAGGACATGTAAATTCCCGCAAATTTCGGGGTGGTCTGTGGATGGTGGTGTTCTAGTCCGGGTTCCAAAAGGCCTGTGGGGGTGAGTGTCCGGGGGTTCCAGTTCAGTGGAATCGGTGAAATTTTGTGGGATTGGCTTCGTTTTGTCGTTGGTCCTCTTTCTACGTTTGGTGTCGGGAGAAGGGAGAGGATCCGTAATGGATTCAGATTCCATTTCAGATTGTAGTTTTTCTTTTGATGTCGTGGGAAAGGGCGATATGAGGATCGGCATCTGAATCCTAATGGCTGAGTTCTCCAGTTACAACCTCGCCACCATCAACATCAACAATATTACGAACGCAACGAAGATTGACGCTCTTCGAACCTTTGTACGAACACTGGAACTGGATATCGTTTTCCTCCAGGAGGTGGAGAATGAGCAACTCTCTATCCCTGGCTTCAACGTTATCTGCAATGTGGACCAAGCAAGGCGGGGAACGGCAATCGCGCTGAAAGACCACATACAATTCTCGCATGTGTAGAAGAGCCTGGATGGTTGTCTCATCGCTTTGAGAGTGCAAAACACGACGCTCTGCAACGTATATGCGCCATCGGGGACAGTTGTTCGTGCGGAAAGAGAAAGATTTTTCAACGGCACGATCACGTACTACCTTCGGTACAACACTCAAAACGTCATCCTCGCTGGAGATTTTAACTGCGTGCTACGTCCGAGCGACTCAACGAGTTCCAACACAAGCCCGGCTCTCCAAGCGACCGTACGGCAGCTACAGCTTCACGACCTGTGGCTGAAATTGTACCCCACAACCCCCGCACCCACGTACATCACACACAATGCGGCATCCAGGCTCGACCGCATGTATGTCAGCGCTGGGCTTTGCGAGCATCTGCGGAGTGCTGCCACGCACGTATGCTTATTCACGGATCACAAAGCGCTAACAGCGTGCATTTGTCTTCCCCACCTTGGCCGCGAACAAGGACGCGGTTACTGGTCCCTCCGCCCTCACCTCTTAACCGCCGAGAACTTAGAGGAATTCCAAGTGCGATGGCAGTTTTGGACCCGCCAACGGAGAAATTTCCCCAGCTGGATGACATGGTGGCTCTCATGCGCGAAGCCAAAAATAAAATCTTTTTTCCGATGGAAGTCAAGTGAAGTTTTCAGAACTTTCAACGCAGAACAACAACGACTCTACGAGCAATTGCGACTCGCATATGATGGCTATTACCAGAATCCCACCATGCTGGTGACCATCAACCGCGTTAAAGCACAAATGCTCACGTTGCAGCGGCAATTTGCGCAAAACTTCATCCGCATCAACGAGACGTTTATAGCCGGCGAGAGCATATCCACTTTCAGTTGGGTGATAGACGACGTAAAAAAAAAACAACCATAACAGGACTGTAGAACGAACGAGGAGAGCAAATACAAGGCTCTCTGGAGATCGAGCAACACATGTTTCGATACTTCAGGGACCTGTATGCGCGGAAGAGACGAGGCAGGAGGGAGAAGAAATGTTCGAAACTGAGAGAGCCGTACCCGAGAACGACGAAGCCAACGCAGCTCTAATGGCAGAGATCAGCATTGACGAGTTGAAAAACTCCACCCGAACGTCGCAAAAACGTAAATCACCGGGGATCGATGGTTTGCCGGTAGAGTTCTACCTACGAACTTTCGACGTCATCTATCGAGAGCTCTACTTCGTTATTAATTAAGCTATGACGAATGAGCTCCCATCTGAATTCACCGATGGCACTATTGTGTTGGTTAAAAAGCGAGGTGGGGATGGGACAGCAAGAGCATACCGTCCGATCAGCCTGCTCAACGTCGATTTTAAAATCCTCTCCCGCGTGATGAAGGCCCGCCTGGAACGAGTACTGCGGATCCATCGAGTCCTGAGCGACTCTCAAAAATGCGCAAATACCGACCGTTCTATTTTCCAAGCTACACTCTCGCTCAAAGATCGTATTGCGCAGCTAATCGCGAGGAAGCAGAAGGGGAAGTTGATCTCGTTCGATCTTTACCACGCGTTCGATCGGGTCTCTCATGAGTTCCTGCATCGGACCTTGCTCTCTCTGGGCTTCGACCAGGGTTTCGTCTATTGGCTCTCTCGAGTCGCTACTGCCTCTTCATCACGGCTGCTAGTGAATGGGTGCCTCTCAGAGCCGTTCCGTATACAACGGTCCGTACGTCAGGGAGACCCGATGTCGATGCTGCTGTTCGTGCTCTATCTTCATCCCCTCCTCACACGGGTGGAGCGTGTATCTAGGGGAAGGACTGCTCCAAGTATGAGTATCAATACCGATGGTGGAAATATTAAATATTTTAATATGTGTGATATTTGCGAATCTTACACTTAGTCTGACAGTTGTTTTTTTTTGTGTTTGACTATTTTTGGTTTAAAGTGTACATTTGACATTCGTTTAATCAAAAATGGATTTCACACGAGAGGCAAGTCATTCCTTGATGATCTTGCTGGTCAGGGCCACCAAAATTCGCTCCTTGTTCTCATAAATTGGACATTCTTTGGTAGCTGATCTCAGTGCACATAATCTGGCGCACTTCCGTTCCCAGGAAATAGTCATTAATTTCCACGAATTCTTCATCGTCTGCAATCCAATGTTCTGTCCTCCGATGGAACGGGAATCGACTGACTACGGTGCCCCTGTAAACGGAGTCCCATAGTGATGGTTCCGTGGTCGTAATACATTCGCCATGAGCCTGCAATTTGGAGAGATTTGCTGCTGGGGGAACTTGCCTAGTCCAGTGCCGTTTTTATCATAAAAAAACCCGAAGCCAAAAACGATCAGAGCTATCGAAAACAAAAATCTAGGCAAAAATGATGAAACAGAAAGCTGCAGGAACATAAACAACAACGGTGAAACGTCATTGAGTGTATGCGTTAAAGCTACACTGTTATTTTTTTTTTACTTTGTAGCTTTCCACTTGACAGTTAATATCATTAATATTTATACTAAAAACTATAATAGCTACCAATATGAGCAATTTTTACATCAAATATTACTGCATATCAAGTTGTACTTCCCCTAGGCGTGTATGCGCTGGTGACCTTTGCGTTGCGTATGCTGATGACATCATGGTGATTGCCACCTCAAAACACACGATAGACCGTATTTATCAGCTGTTTGGTAGCTTCGAGATCGTATCCGGGGCAAAGCTAAATCGGCTGAAAACAGTGGCGATCAATGTTGGTTTCATCAATAGAGATCCACTGACGATACCAGGGCTGCAGACAAAGGAGAATGTCAAGGTACTGGGCGTTATTTTCACCAACTCAGTGCGACTGATGGTTAAACTAAACTGGGACGCTTTAGTATCGAGGATCTCGCAACTCATATGGTTGCATAACATGCACTCCCTTTCCCTGCAGCAGAAAGTGCTACTGCTGAACATCTTCATTACAGCGAAGGTGTGGTACCTCTCGTCTGTTATTCCACCGCAATGTGCTCACACGGCGAAGCTGACATCAACGATGGGGACTTTCCTTTTCCAATCGTCACCTGCAGGAGATCGTTTCCCTTCCCTATTATCAGTCCCTTCTCGCCCAAAATATTCCTCCCCCCGCCGATCTTCCTTGCCTAAAACTTCTCTCACAGCAAATTTCCTTATTTCCACACCACATCCAACAAAACCCCTCCAGCGATCAAATCCATCGTTTCTACTTGGAACAAACTGAGCTACCCAGAGTGGAACGAAACCATCCAGGCATCAATTGGAAAAAGATCTGGATGAACATATCATCGAGAAGGCTATCGTCGAGCCAGCGTACTGATCTCTACCTGCTAGTGAACGAGAAGACGGAGCACCGTAGACTGATGAACGTCATCGGCCGTGCAAACGACCCAAACATTCAGCACTGTGCGGTAGGAATCGAGACTTTGCAACATAAGTTTTGCGAATGCCCTCGAGTTGCTGCAGCTTGGGCACACATCCAGCGAAAATTGACGACGACGCTCGGTACGGCCAATCTTGGGTAACATGACAACAGTGAGAAGAAATCAAATTTTAAAAACGTTCATTAAGTACA